TGTCTTTCAAAGCCCAAGCATTAAGTCTTCACAAGGTCCTGTTGGTCTTACTCTACATTCTAGTATGTTTTAGGAAATATTTCTATGTATTGTTTGTCTTTGATTTGCAGAAACCTAAAATGGATGTTTTTGATTACTTTGTTCAGTTGTCATCTTGATTTGAGGAAAAGATGTGAACCTCCATTCACTGATCATCAAATTCAGAAGTCCATTCCTTCAACCATTCATTTTTACTATTTCTCACTGTACTTTTCTTTACCCTCAATACCTCTATTTCCCATTGTTTGAGGCTGCAGGTGGTATATGTCTAGTAACACTGGTATGGTTAGGGGCAAGCTCTGCTTCTTAATATAAACATACACAGTTCAAACTATGTTCCACATCCATATCAAAAACTTCACTGTATAATTTCATACATCAAGAAATTTGAGCTTTCAAAGAAATGTTGAAATAAAAATAGGACTTCATAGATTGTGAGTTCATTGGTGGTAAAAAAAAAAAAAATAGCTGAGGACAAAATAAAAAATCCTTTGAATTGTACTTAAAAACAATAATAGCACATTGTCTCTAACTTTAGGAAGTTGTTAACAATAAAAGAGAAACTATTACTTACTTCTGATGTAAATACTCTATCTTTTAAAGTATCCATTGGGACATGATAATAAATTCTATGCTCTTATGCTATTTTGGGGGGGGGGAGAACATATTTGTACATGTCTGTGCATATGTGTTTGAGAATGTGGTTTAGAGAGAAATTGAACAGTAGAGGAGTAGTATATTATAAAACAGATCTAGCTGGGCACCAGTGGCTCATGCCTGTAATCCTAGGAGGCTGAGATCTGAGGATCATGGTTCAAAGCTAATCCAAGTCCAAATCCAAGCCAAAATGGAGCTGTGACTCAGTGGTAAAGCACCAAGCCTTGAGCTAAAAAAAAGAAAAAAAGAAGAAGATCTAACAACATTTACATTAATCTACTTCTTACTTATATGGCAAAAAAGAACTAACAATTCTTATGGTGAATTTAATAATGCTTAAGTAGATGAAAGCAGTCTTTGCAAATTTATTAATGTTGTCTTAAATTTGTTTTAAAATTGCTTCCACAAATACTTTATCTATAGTTTATTAAAAACTTGGTGATATGTTAGGGTTTTTAGGGGGGGTGGGCAGTTCTATGTCCACACACCCCACTCTACCACTCTAATTCTCTTTCAAACCCAATGAAAGAAGACTGTGGTGTGTGTGTGCGTGCATGTATTACTAGTCTTCTTACCAGGCCATGAGTATCTTGTCCCACTTAGAATAGGTATCACATCTACTGCAAAGCCTTCCTAGTCAAAGGTTTAGGATTCTCATTTAGAATCTGGTAGAATCCTAAGCTCATCACTTTTTGTGAAACTTAAAAGCTCTGGTGTTTTAAATTCACTTTTGTCTCCCATACTGCGAGCTTTTAAAGTAAAAATTATTTTGTATTCCTCTTTGTATCATGGATTTAAAAGGATAAGTGCCTGCCTGGAATGGATAGTTTCATAAGTGCTTTTTGAAGAAATATGAAGCAAGGTATAGGTGCATGCTGGCAGCTCTCAGGACAGATTGCTGAGGCTTCTTGAGGTTAGTATTGATCTAGCCTTGTATTCTCGGAATTCAGACCTTATAGATGATGATAAGGAAAGTCAGTTCTCAATGTAGAGTTGGAGAGAAGGGAAGAATCAAAATGCCTTGGGATAAAAGTATGGATTTTCATTTGGCCAAAGTTTTGAATGGTGGAGACTAGGTGGGGGGAAGGTGAGAGAAAGATCACTTGAGTACAAGTTGGCAAGAGTATTTGAATGCCAGGCTGAGAAACAGGAAACTTATGGTAAATATGGAGCAAGGAAACAAAGTGCGCAGATGTGCTTGTAGAAGATGATCAGGTTCTATGTAGATCAGATGAATAGAGGAACAAAGCTCAAGGAATCCTCCACCTAGATTCTCTATGGCACTTTTATGCTAGGGGCTCATAGTGAGTGGTTTAGGACTCAGGTACCTTCTTCCATTCCTTGATTAATGTGCAGCAGGCTGGGGAAGTGACCTACAGCAATGCTTTTCCCAGTGTGACTACAGCTCACTGATAGTTCCCAAGTTTCATGAGGGCCACCCAGTCATACTATTTCCATAATAATACTGTCACAGTAGTTGATATTTTTACCACATATATTGATTGACTTTTATCTTCAGCCCTAAAGTCTTAAACTTAACCTAGTGCCTAAGTATGAATCAAGGCAGTAGCACAGCACCATGCTGCTGGTGATGTTCTGCCCATCCTTCACCACTGGGAGCACACAGATTGAACAAAAAGATAAAATGTCATTGAAGAATGTCCTTGAAGCTGGCACTGGTTGTTCATGCCTATAATCCTAGCTACTTAGGAGACTGAGGATTCTGGTTTGAAATCAGCCTGGGGAGAAAATTCCATGAGACTCTTACCTTCAATAAACTACTCAGAAAAGCTGGAAGTGGTACTGTGGCTCAAATGGTAGAGCACTAGCCTTGAGCACAAAGAGGCTCAGGGACAGTGCCCAGACCGTGAGTGACAAATCACAGAACACCTCTGGTATTTTTAAAGTATAAAGGAAAGTTTTATGTGATTGAGCTGTGCATGTAAGAAGCAAGTTTGAGCATTAGTTATATATGATGCTTATTGCTTTGACTGCATGCCTAGTGTTCATGATGCTATTTTTGAAACGTAGTGGATTTCATATTTGTTTCATCTTGTCTTCATTTTGCTCAATTTGATTATTAGAAACATCATACTTTTTTAGAACATTGCTTCATAGCTTCCCCCTCTTTTTCTCTTTCTTTTTCTCTTTTTCTCTTTCTTTCTTTCTTTCTTTCTCTCTTTCTCTCTCTTTCTTTCTCTCTTTCTCTCCTTTCTCTCCTTTCTTTCTCTTTCTTTCTCTCTTTCTCTCTCTCGCTCTTTCTTTCTCTCTTTCTTTCTCTCTTTCTTTCTCTTCTCTCCTTTCTGCTGTTTTTATATCACTTGGTTCAAATAGAGATTTGTCCTGAAACATCCACAAGAATTTTCTAGGGACTTCATTTCATCTTAATTATAGTAATAGGAACAGCAAGTTCTACTCTGGTATTAAAAGTATGTTGGTTTAATCGGCTCAACAAGCCATCCACCTTGGCATGTACTTCACAGAGAATGGTGAAAACATAAGGTCCTTAAATTGCCAGAGGAATACTTCAAAACAAATTATTGTTGCATACCTAGAATATGTCCACACCTGTTTGGTGTTTATAAAAAAGTATTTAGGGGCTGGGAAGGTGGCTCAGTGGTAGAGCGCTTGCCTGCATGCCTGAGGCCCTGAGTTCGATTCCTCAGCACCATATAAGCAAAAAGAAAAAAGCCAGAAGTGGCGCTGTGGCTCAAGTGGTAGAGCGCTAGCCTTGAGCTGAAGAGCTGAGGGACAGTGCCCAGGCCCAGAGTTCAGGTCCCACAACCAGACCCAATAAAAAGTATTTATGAACATAGTAATTGTTTTGAGGATTTAGTGAGGAGAAAGTAGATAAACATGCCTCAGATTTTGCAAAAGAGATTAGTGATTAAAAATGTATCCTCATATTCTTTCACTAAGGCTATAAATCTAGTGTTTATGTATTGATGGTAGATTGACCTTTACTAGCGATTAGACTCTTAACTATGCCTTTACTCAGCACAGGAGGGAGGGTCATCTATAACAGAGTCAACTGGGACAGAAACAAGGAGACCGGAAAGTATAAATTTGTTAAGATTAACAAGAATCTAATTGTTTTTAGGCAAATTGTCACCATTGTGTTCCTCCTGTTCATAAATATCTTCATATACTTTGACAACGGAGTAGTAATAAACTATAATAAAGGGAATGGGAGGTTAAAATGCTGGTTTTCATCCTTAAGAGTATGAGGTAGATCAAAAGATGTGTTGATCTTCAGAACCAAGCATAACAGACTTTGTTTTCCAAGTAGAAAGGTCTCAAATACAGTATTCTCACAATAAAAAACTTATTTTAAAAAAAAAGGTCTCAAATATAGGAATGTTTATTAAGGATCTAAGGTACTATTTTCACCTCTCCCTTTTGCCAAAACATGTCCTGTGATCTTTAGCAAGTCAGTATTTTTGTGTCTGTATTACAATTTTGCTCATTTAGTACAAACATTCAAAAAATCTAAATTTTGTTTGTAGACTATAGCATTTCAAATATATATAGGGTTTTTCTCTTTGAAGAGACAATTATCATTTTTTATTACACATACTTTTTTGGGAGAGAGGAGGTCCTGTTCTGGGGCTTGAACAAAGGGGCCTGGGCACTAATTTTTTTTTTTTGCTAAAGTCTAGCATTCTACTACACGAGCCACAGTTCCACTTCGGGCTTTTTTTTTTGGTAGTTAAGAGATAAGAGGGTTTGGAGTGCTAGTATAATGGCTCACACCTGTAATTCTAGCTACTCTAGAGGCTGAGATCTGAGGATTGTGGTTCAAAGCCAGCCCAGAGGAAAAAGTCCATGAGACTCTTCATCTCCAATAAACCACTCAAAAACTGGAAGTGACACTGTGATTCAAAGTGGTAGAGCTCTAGCCTTGAGCAAAAGAGCTCAGAGACAGCACTCAGGCCCTGAGTTCAAGCCCCTGGACAACCAAAAAAAGAGAGAGGGAGGCGGGTTGGAGGCATGGCTCAGTTGGTAGAATGCTAGCCAGTGAGTAAATATGTCAAGTACCAAGTTCAAGTCCTGGTCTCAAACTTTTAAAGCGAGGTGGGGAGGGAGAGTCTGAGGGACTTTTCTGCCCATGCTGATGCTGTCTTTGAACCACTATCTTCATATCTCAGCCTCCTCAGTAGCTAGGATTACAGGTATGAACCACCACTGGTACCTGGCACACATACTATGAGAATAATTGTGATAAAGAATGACCTCAGTTATTTTCTATAATTCTTAGGAGTAATTATGTTTATTTTTTGTTTGACATTGCTTACTTTCTTCAGCAGACAGACGGTGGAGCCCAGACAGATGGCCAGCAGTCACAGACACAAAGTAATGAAAATTCAGAGAGTAAATCTACCCCTAAGCGACTACATGTCTCTAATATTCCTTTTCGCTTCCGGGACCCTGACCTCCGGCAAATGTTTGGGGTAAGTCTCTGAGGTCCTTTTGTGGATTCTAAAATGGAATTTTTTGCACTGTATGTGTTATTAATCATTAGTATTTTAGAATTAAACTGCAAAGGAAATGAGTAAGGCCCTGAGGGAAATCAATATTATTATCAGTCTTAAGAACCTTTTTCTGCCACCCATCTTGCTCTAGATGTTAGCCTTGCAGGTTGTCATAGACACAGGTGGCCATTCCTTGAGAGGTGAGACTTTCAAGATATACTCTGCATATAGCTTCTACCTTTTGCAATTTTGCAAGAGCTATGAACAATCCAACTTAGTAATAAGCACATATCTATGTTACCATTTCTATAGGCTATATATTTCATCATACTTAAACATTTTCTGGCATTAACAATGATTCCATTTACTTGCTCCTTTAATATTTCTACAGTAAGAATAATCTTATACCTGCAAGGTAAAACAGATAAAGACACAAAACCAAAATAATTCTATTGTTAGGTAGCTAAATAGTAGACTAAAGAGGTTACACAAAGTCTGAGAACACTTTCATGAGAGATCTGTATATGAAGGCAGAATTTTTTTTTTTGCCAGTCTTGGGGCTTGTATTCAGGGCCTATGCACTGTCCCTGAGCCTCTTTGTGTTCAAAGCTAGTGCTCTACCACTTGAGCCACAGCACTACTTCTGGCTTTTTCCAAGTAGTTTATTGGGGATAAGAGTCTCGCAGACTTTCCTGCCCAGGCTGGCTTTGAACTGCAATCCTCAGATCTCAGTCTCCTGAGTAGCTAGGATTACAGGCATGAGCCATCAGAACCTAGCTGAGACAAAACTTCTTTAATCATTACTTGAATGGGCAAGTATGTATAGTAAACATCCAGGTATCTTTCTGGATCACATAACCCTTAGAGTACTGAACTTTTACCTATTATCTGTTTCACTTGGATTTCAAACCAGTCTCTACAAAAGTGAGAATATGTATCTTTGGCATTCATTCAGACTTGCCTTACCTAATTATGGTATGATGACATATATATTATAGATAGATAGATAGATAGATAGATAGATAGATAGATAGATAGATAGATAGATAGATAGAAAGAAAGAAATTAGCTAGGAGGGCTGGGAAGGTGGCTCAGTGGTAGAGTGCTTGCCTTGCATGCATGAGGTCCTGGGTTCAATTCCTCAGCACTACATAAGCAAAAAGGAAAAAGCCGGAAGTGGTGCTGTGGCTCACGTGGTAGAGCGCTAGCCTTGAGCTGAAGAGCTGAGGGACAGTGCCCAGGCCCAGAGTTCAGGCCCCACGACCGGACCCAAAAAAAAAAAAAAAAAAAAGAAATTAGCTAGGCCTGTGGGAAAGCCTGGAAGGCCATGAACCAATGCTGAATTGGTGGGATTGCAGATGATCTTTATTTTCTGTTTTCCTTTTCCCTGTTCATATTTTGTAATTTTTATACAATGAATGTTATTTACTTGTATAATTTTTAATGGGAGGGGGAAGACAGCCTTCAACAATATATTATTCTACTTTGCTAGGATTTAATTTTAAAATTGAGACATTTAAAAAATTAGACCAGTTATTAGAAAATCACTAGTTCTTGTTGACATGAAGCAGCACATAATAGGGAAATACTGTGAGTTACAGTTACTGTCTCCCAACAGTGGCTCTCACACATAGGCATGGATAGTGAGTAAGGGAGGACACTGAAGCAGAGGAAGAGGCGAAAAAACAACCACCAGCTCAGTGATGGGGATAAGCCAGAAACTCACGCTGGGGCCAGCTGACACATAGAAACATAGGTACTAAAGACATACTAGTTTAAAGAAGAAGGAAAGACCCTCCATTTTAGAAAAGAAAGTTTTATGTCAATAAAAAGCTCACCATAAGTAAATGTTTTTATTTTTGTCTCTGCAGCAATTTGGCAAAATCCTAGATGTAGAAATAATTTTTAATGAGCGTGGTTCTAAGGTAAGATCTGTTTCCACATCAAGTTGTATGCTTCATTTCTTTTTGAACTTTGTTTTAAACAGTAGGTGTTCACAAAGCATAGGCAGTTTTTCAAGCCTGTATGCAGGATTATCCCCTGTGTCCACCTTGAGCTAGATTTATCTCTGAAAAGAGGCTGCAACATGGCCGGACTATACCCAAATGTCCAAATTGGGAGGGAAATGAGAAATAGAGAAGTTAGAGGGAAGTGTAGAAGTGTAGAGGACAGGATACAGAACAGCGTGGTCCTTGATTGGCCTTAGATTCAGCTGCCTCATTTTAAAGGAAGAAAGGAGCCTAGAAAAGTGAAGCTTTATGTTGTGAATTCTGTCAGAACAATGCAGCTTTATAAAATGCAGCTTTGAAATAGCATACTTAGAGCAAATTTAATGGCTATTTCTTTCAGTTATTCAATTCATTTGCGTTCACTTTGGACTAAATTTTGGCAAGGCTCACAATGAGTAGTGAGTTGGTATTCACTAGTACCATTTCTGCCGTCAGTCACCCCCAGGTGGGTAAGCTTTGGGATATGGAGGCACTCAGTCACACACAGCTAGACTTTACATTAAAATAAAAGTAGTCACAGTGTGCAAGCTGATGTGTGTATTCTTTCGTAAGTATGTTCTACATAAGAACTAACCCTCTTAGTTAAAAATTATTTTTCCTATTAGTGATTTTTAAATTAATTTTTAGTTGGTCATATCTGCTGAACCTGGAAAACAGCTCTTTGCTATGATTAAATCTTCTAAGGATGTAGTTTGAGGAAGAAAGCTAAGTAAACTCTCAATAAATGAGTTATTTTTTACCTCTCTTCAATTTTTTACCTCTACTCCAAATCCACCACACTGTGGGAATTAATAACATACACGATGGTGTACACCTCCTGTCCCTTCTGTACTAACACAAGTTGAATACATTGTTCTAATGTTTCTGATTGTTATTCCCTTATAGACTGTGTCAACACTAAAAATGTTTAATTCTGGCTAGAACAATTATTTGTTAATTATTAAAGAGGTAATTTTCAGCTTTCAATTAAAAAAAGATTAATATGTCTATACAGAACTTTCTCCAACACTTTACTTGGTAAGTATGTTAAAGTGAAATCTATTTGCTGCAACCAGTAAAAAGTATGGTCCTTTATTGTCCATTTCTGCTTGTTATTTTCTCACAGTGGATTCCTAGTCCTTTGATTAGTTCAAATTTATTTTTTATGAAGTGGTCAGCTACAAGGTGAGAAAATGATGTGGTTTAGTGAATAGGAATACATGAATGTGAAACAAATTGATGAAGATTGTTGACCACGCTTCACATGCTATAGTAATATGAAATATTTTTGGTTTTGAGTGCATACACTTAAATAATCCTAACTAGGTTCTAACTACTAGAACCCCAATACAGTTTCATCAGGCATTGAAGACTTGCTCCTTATCAAGAAAATAATTTGATTGATGTATTGTGAAGCAAAGGAAATTGATCTTAAGGCTTCTTTCATTGACTTTGAGGATTTGTCTGCCTCCAAATCTACCTTATCCAATTACTTCTCCCATATTTTAAAATAATAACCCAAGCCTTCCTTTTCCTTCTGGGGAACCTGAAGGTATATGTGGTGTCCTTACTGCCCCTGGTTTGTTTGGGCTTCAGTAGTATAGATGATGTACTAATTGGCAGTACATGAAAAACAAAGCACAGAATTCACAACTGCCCAGATTGGCCTTTCAGGACTGTGGACCTTGGTTTTGTCCTTCTCCTTCCTCACTGTTATCTAAAGACTAAATCTTTCCCCGAGTGAATTCTCTGGAAGTGTTTTGAGGCCTCTGAGTGAGATTTACTTTGAAGTCAGCCAGACCCAAAGATACCTTCTTTGAGATCCTCCTAAGAGAAATTAATGAATGCTTTTATTTTTGTGACTTAAATTTAATATCTCATTTCTCTTAAATGTTTTAGGTTGACTATAAAATTATAGCATCTCAAACCAGAGAAAAGAAGGCATTATGTGGTCCTGTTGTTTTAGTTAGGTGTTGTTCTGACTTTTAAATAGTGTTTTTCTGTTCCAAAATTAGCTTTATTGATTTTTTTTTGAAGCAGATGGGAAAAACTAGTCAACAAATAAATCTGAGATAAGTAATTAGTACTTAATTGGATTGCTCCAAAACAGAAAGCATTTATTTCTTCACCATAAATTTTTTACGTGTATGGTTCTGAGGACCAAACACAAGATTTTGTGCTTGTTAAGTAAGCACTATGCCACTGAGCTATTCCTAGCCCCACATCTTTTGTGTGTGTGTATGTGTGTGTGAGTGTGTGTGTGTATGTATGTATGTGTGTTGGTCCTGGAGCCTGAATTCAGGGCCTGGGCACTATACCAGAGCTTTTTTGCTCAAGGCCAGCACTGGTTTGAGCCATAGCTCCACCTCTGGCTTTTTGGGGATTAATTGGAGATAAGAGTCACAGACTAAACTGTGATCCTCTTATCTCAGCCTCCTGAGTAGCTAGGATTATAGGCACACAGCTCTCATCTTTGATGAGGCTGAAGTGAACCGTGTTGCACTGCCACATCCACACACTTTGTCACCAGAGTTTCACCTCATCCAGCTCCTGCCTACAGAGTAGAATCACTGTCTTCCACAAAGGACTTAATGTCCTCCTTTTTTTATTACTGACCTCTTTTATTTGGTCTTCATTTGGTTTTTCCTTACCTAAATTAAGAAATGGAGATAATATATACACATACATTCAAATTACCTCAGATGCAAGTACTGTGCTGTGATTTTTTTGCCCATTACCATGACTTTTTATTTCACAAAAGGGGAGTTACTTATTCCTTTCAAAATGTACTCAAAATACTTTCCTTGAAGCTGCACTAGGTAGGTCTTTGTAGTTCCAGTAAAATACATAGGAAATACTGAAATGTTTTTCATTATACTTAAAACTAAATTAGCAATGCATGTATTTCCAAAGGGCTTAGTTTTCTTTTCTTTGGTGTTACCATTTATGGGGTTTTAGTTTTCTTTTATTTATTTTTTAATTCCTGTGTTCTGGCCATACCCAGGAGATCCGTCTGCTTTTGATTTCTCCCTTAAAAGTTACATGGTAAATTTTCTTTCTCATTCTTCTGAGATGGAAAAATTTAAAGATTATACAAGTTTTTAAAACATGTTTAAAATGCTCATCCTATTGCTTGTTACTTATTGCAGCCTGAGGCCAGACTAAAAAGGTACCCGTTACTCGGCTCCTCTGTGTCCTTGATGACAGTGGGGACCCAGACAGGTGGAGAGATCGCTGCTGTCCACCATAGAAGCTTTAACCACAACCTAACAAGCCTTTCCTCACTTCTTAAGAAAGTTAGCAGATAGAGTGGTAATCATGGATGTATCACTGATGTGTTTCAACTATGAACATAGAATTATTAGCATAGACTTTGAGGACTGCAAACTTTAATAGGAATGTACAGACTTACATTGTCCAGTACAGTGACCACATGAGCATTAGAAGTGGGGAGTTCAAACTGAGATGCTTCCTAAGTGAAAGATGCTCACAAGCCTTCAAAGGCAGTACCATAAAGAATGATATATACCTCATTAGTCATGTTTTTTATATTGGCACCATATTGAAATAAGATATTGTATATATTTGGTTGAATGAATATACTGTTAAAATTAGTTTAACCTATTTCCTTTTACTATTTTAATTTGCCTATAGAAAATTTTAAATTATATTTGTCAGTGCTGGTACTAACAATTCGTGACATCTTTTTTAATTAAAAATTTTAAACTTTTACCTACTTTTATTAATCAGTTGAGATAAAATTCATCTCTATGTGCCTGAGATATTTCCTCTCCTTAAGCATTTAGGTTAAATCTATATATTACAGACTATAAAATGTGTTTGTTATAGATTTTAACTGTGCAGTGTAGTTATTATGTTTTAGTATTTAATACTATGTGATCACTTTGAACTGAAATGAAATGTGTAGTAATTTCTTATGGTTCTGAATAAGTTGCTACAAATGTGGCAGCTTAAAACCACATGTTAATTATTTTATAGTTCTGGAAATCAGAAATCTGAAATAGGGCATACTAGGCTGAAATCAAGGTGTTGGATTGCTCTTGTAGACTCTCGAGATAACCTGTTTCGTTGCCATTTTGAGCATGTGGAGACTGCCCACATTCACTGGACTCTAGTCCCCTCTGTTTCTAAGGCCAGCCATGGCCAATCAAGTCTTTTTCAAGCTGCTACGATCAGATTCAGACTCTCCCGCTTCTTCTTTTCGCTTACAAATACACTGGGGATTACATTGGACCCACCTGGATTATCCAGGGTAATCTCCCTATCTTGAGATCATTTAATCACATCTGAAAAATGCCTTTTAGTGAGTAAGGTGACATATTCTTTGGTTCCAGGGATTAGGATGTGAACAACTGCAGGGGACATAATTCTGCCTACCACAGGACTATTTATCTTCAAAGGAAAGAAAGAAATCCTCTTACCTCTGTGTTTTATGTTAGTGAATCACATAGCACAAAGCAGACCTTTCTTCTGTCACCCTAGGAAAAGGTGCTTATAAAGATTGTTTTTATGTCTTTAGTATCTTCATTAGAACTTCCTTTGGCATATAAGCATCTTTATTTATAAAACGTTTTTTAGGAAGTTGAAATATAATTTTGTTCCAGAATAAAGTCATTACTGAGAAAATCTCCAATAAGCATTACATTAAACTTTGTTACTTGCTGACTAAAACCTGTCAGTGCTGTTATATACCTGCATTCTTCTGGTATACCTATTGTGTCACTCAGGTTCTATAAATACCTTCCAAAAGGGGAGGCTACTCAAGACATTGTACAATTAGATTTGGAAGGAATGGGGGAAGTATTTTCTGACTAAAGAAGTTTTGTAAATAAAATCTGCAGTCAGGTTGGCAAAGCTTAATTTTTTTTCACCATTATTTATAACCTTGGGTACTTTACTGCATTTGACTCCCTTTATCTACCTCAGAATAAACCCAAAAAATCTGCCCTTACAACCCCATGGTTGTGATTAGAAACAGAAGTATATATGGTTTGTAAGTAGACATGTAGACATCTGTAGCCAGACACAGTGTTAAAATGAAAGTCTCCACATCCACGTAAGTTATTAGTAACTTACCTGATTTATAACTTACTAACCCAAATCAACACATTTATTACTATGAGAATCAATTGGAATATGGTTTATATAGTGCTTTTTAAAAGGCTTAATTACCACACTGGAGAGTTCTCTAGGGTTAGAAAACTGGTTTCTTGTCTTCAGCAGATGTAAATGTAAATAACAAGTAATGTCCTTAACTATTTATTTGCCCTTGTGTACTCTGAGCTATCAAAATGGCTGTAGCATTTTAATATCAAAATGTATTTCCCAAAATATGTCCTGTTGACATTTTCAAGAAATGTATACCATTCTTTAGGAAACTATTAGCTAAAATTACCATAGTATTCCACAATAAACATCATGCATGTAAGTTTTTTTTTGTCACCTCAGTGTTTGCATCCTAAGGTATTTGTAATGATGCACATTGTGTAGAATGCTGAGTAATCAGTTATTACATAATGGTGGAGTGCTCCTATCAAATGTTGAGCAACAATTGAGATGGTAAATAGTATCATCTCAGTGGTCACTCATGTTGTTAAGCAACAAGACCAAAACCTCAGTTAAAGGGTTTTAGCCAGGTTCTGGTAGCTCATACCTGTAATCCCAGCTACTCAGGAGGCTGAGATCTGAGGATCACAGTTCAAAGCCAGCCTGGACAAGAAAGTCTGTGAAGACTCTAATCTCCAATAAACTACTCAGAAAAAGTCAGAAATGGCACTGTGACTTAAGTGGTAGAGTGCTAGCCTTGAGCACAAAGAGCTCAGAGACAGTGCCTGAGTTCAAGCCCCAGGACTGGAAAATATACAAACAAACAAACAAACAAATAAATGGTTTTAAGTTATCCTACAGTAGAAAAGTTTAAAAAAAAAAAAAAACCTGCTAGCGAGGAAGGGACAATGAAGCTGTTAGGAGATGACTTTCCAGAAAATCCCATGTATTTGCTACTCTGCAAATGTAAATAGCTTGGGAAATTTCTTATAAACCTGTAGTTGTTGAAGATGAAGAATGAAGTTTTATGAGATCCTGCTCATGTTAAAGGAGGTAAGGTAATGATGTGAACAGAGGAGCAGGTTAACTCCCTGATCTCCTCATTTGTCTACATAATGAGCTCCATTCTATTTGGGTAGTGGCTACTAAACAAATGAAATGGAAAAATGAAATGAATCCCAACTCAATATAGCAGCTCTATTATTTCTGGTATTTTTTATTGATTCATGTATGGCTAGTGTCACTAATGTAGATCTCATTCCCATTGCCTTTTTCTCCTTATGTGGAAAAACACTAATAATAATAATAATCCAGATTAGAATGTTTGTTTTTGTTTTTGTTTTGTCGGTCGTGGGGCTTGAACTCTGGGCCTGGGCGCTGTCCCTCAGCTCTTCAGCTCAAGGCGAGCGCTCTACCACTTGAGCTACAGTGCCACTTCCGGTTTTCTGGTTGTTTATTGGAGATAGGAGTCTCATGGTCTCTCCTGCCCGGGCTGGCTTTGAACCGCGATCCTCAGATCTCAGCCTCCTGAGTAGCTAGGATTACAGGCGTGAGCCACCAGCGCCCGGCCCAGATTAGAATGTTTGTAAATTTTTGTTAGCAGTTTTCTGAAATTCAGTATTAACATATTCTTGCTCTAATGTGCAAATCTGACCATTTAAAATTATCATTGAAGAGAAATTATGTCAGGCACCCGTGGCTTACACTTATAAAGCCGGCTACCCAGAAGGATGAGATCTAAGGATTGCAATTTTGAAGCCAGCTCAGACAGGAAAGTCCATGAGACTCTTATCTCTAGTTAACCACCAAAAGAAGTGGAGCTGTGACTCAAGTGGTAGTAGAGTGCCAGACTTGATCAAAAAAAGCTCAGGGACAGTGTCCAGGCCCTGACTTCAAGCCCAAGGACTGGCACCAAACAAAAGAAAAGAAAAATTAGAATATAATATCTTCACTGCTTCCATACCTGCTAACTACAGAATTATACATCAAGACTCTCTAGCTACTCAGGAGACAGTATAATCTACCCAGGCAGAAAAGTTCATAAGACTCTCACCTCTAATTAACCAACAAAGAAAAAAGAGAAAGAAAGCTGAAAATGGAGGTGTGGCTTAAGTGGTAGAATACCAACAAAAATACTGAGGGGTACAACTCTCAGGCCCTAAATTCAAGCCCCAGTACCAACACACACACACACACACACTCTCTCTCTCTCTCACTCTCTCTCTCTCACTCTTTCTCTCATAAATTATTACTATTATAACAGGCAAAGTAGTAAGGATAAAATAATGGAACATCCTTTAAAATTCTCACTGTACAAATGATTAATGTTAAATGTTAGATTTTTTTTTGTAGAAGTCAGTGAACAGTAACAGGCTTGCAGTATTGGTGAGTTTAATACATTTAGTATTACACTGGGGATGTTAACTAACATTGTGAACTGGGAAAGATAGGATATTGAAAAATGTAGATTCTTGGTTGAATAGTTTGATCCGAGTAACTTAATGCCTTAGTTTTGGTCTGGCCTCACATGCTTTATATTTTATTTTATTTTATTGTTATTACTGTTAGCTAAATTACTGTTATCATTACAGTTCTTTATTCTGTTACTGAGTTTAATTTCCCTTTACAAAATATGCATGAACCAAAACTGTGACTTTGAGAGTATTGCTGAGTTGTTGCTGATGTCACTTTCATACTGTAATGTTTCTCTATATACCAGAGATCAGTATTTCAATATAACGATGTGCATGTTTTCCCCCCCTTCTCCCGCTGCATGCAGGGATTCGGGTTCGTAACTTTCGAGAATAGTGCTGATGCAGACAGGGCCAGGGAGAAATTACACGGCACCGTGGTAGAGGGCCGTAAAATCGAGGTGCATGTCTTCAATAATTCAATTTCTGGTTTCTATTTTTATTTCTCTTTGTATTGCCTCACTTATTTCACTTTTGGACCCTGTCTTGTTTGTGTGTGCGCACATGTGTGTGTTTGCATCTCTCTGTTCTTCACCTTCTTGCACTCAACTATGTAAAAGCAACTGCTTCTCTCCACCTCCCCTGTTTTTGGTTGTTTGGGATTTTAGTAGAGAGAGAGAGAGAGAGAGAGTGTGTGTGTGTGTGTGTGTGTGTGTGTGTGTGTGTGTGTGTGTGTGTGTGTGTGTGTATGTGTGTGTGTGTGTGTGTGTGTTTTCCATTTACGTTTTTCCCCCTTCCAAAATGTTCATCCTTCTGCTTCCTTGATTTTTTTCCTTTGCTTCAGTTTGCAAGACTCTGAATTCTTGTAATTAGACCTAAAAGAAAAAAAAAAAAAAAACAGAAAAGAAAGCTAACTTTTAAAATGTCTTGGAACTATCTTGCTTCTAACATTGTGTTCTGTCGTGAATCAGGTGGCCAGCCCATACCCTCTTTCTCTTGGGAGGCCAGCTCGCCTCCATGTGTATATGGAATAGATGATTGTAAAGGTTGTGGGGGGGAAGATAAACCAAAACTCTGGAAGATTTTATACTTACCACAAGAACTTTAGCAGTTAATATCCTCAATGAAGAGGGTTTGATGGCCGCCTGGCTAGTGTGCTGTGGTTGCTCGTGTGAACCCCTGGGGTTCACCAGCCCTTTATATCAATGCACTGAAGGTTAACTGGCTCCTTTCCCCATTTCCAGTTTTTAAAAGTATTAAACATAAAAGCCACCATTTGAGTAAGATGTTTGCATATTTTGCTTTTTTCCCCCTTTCCAATGGTTTAGCATTTAGGGCCCTTCACTTGACTCACTCTTTCCATGGTAACTATACACAAAGCTGGCGATGGTGCCCATTGGCGGTAAGTGAAACCAAAGCACTAGAGAAGAAGCTTTTTAAAATGTAATTACAAAACAATTAAGAAAGAAAAAGTCCATCTGCCATCTCACATTAACACTACAAAATGTGATTTGACTTGTTGTTCTTCTTCCTTTTCCTTCCCCCTCCTTTTTATTTTCAATGCTATTAAGTAATGCCGCCTGGACTTTGGATGTACATATTGTTTTGTAGCAGTCTGAGCTGTTTGATTACTGACTTCATGGTGATTTTTATCCCCTTGCACATCTTACTCAGAGTTACTGAACTCCAGTTTGGCTGGTTTTATTAATGCACTTCCTGCCCCTATTTCCTTCCCACTTTCCCTTTTTCCCAAACCACTGTTTGTAGATTTTCTTTACCCTGATAGTTCTTTTCCTGCTTGGAACACCTTTCCTCACATTCTCTTATTTTTCCCTAGCCCATTATTCCTTTTGCTCAAACTCTTGCTCTTGCCCTTTTCCCTATTCTAGCTTCCCTTCCCTTCTGTTTCACTCTGCTATTGGTCTCTCACTGACTGGTGGTTTCTGATTGGTTCTGGCTATTTTTCCTTTTAATTGCTTGGTTGCATTCTGCTCTAGCAATTGGTTCAAGCTCTTGCTCTATTCTAATCTCGCTATTTCCTTTCTCCCTTCTTTCCAAAACTGATTGTTTTTCCTTCCTTCTGTTGTGTGTGTGTGTGTGTGTGTGTGTGTGTGAACTGCATGCCATCTCAGTCTCATCACTGCTGTCTCCCATTCATTCTTTGTAAATGTGAAATGTTTATATTTTTGGAGGTCAAACTAGAGCAAATGGAGTTTCAAACTGTCCTCACATGGGAAGGGTGATCACTGTACAAATTTTAAATAACACATGAAGATTTTTTAAATTCTATTTCTGTCTGAAATTGGCCTTCATAACAAAAATCTGGCACAATGTATATTACACAATGCAAAATAACTCTTGTTAAAGTACACATTTCTTATGACCTGTCAACACAGTATATAGTTAAGTCTATGGTGAGGCTTTCCTCTCCTGGCCAGAGCTTTTACCCAATGGCAGCCTGAAGTGTTCTGGCTTCAAAGTTCCCTCATCTTCATTCATATCTGCTATGTTTTTAAGACTGTTCATCCTGCTTTAGAGAAAGCAAATATGTACTTTGTGATGAAGATGGAGTGAACCATAAAACAAAATAGTTATCTTATAGTTCACATATTTTAAGTGCCTACTCAAAAGTCCTTCTGAAGATTTATAACTCTTAAGTGAATAAGCCAAATAGTCTAGAAAATTTAGAATAGCCCTAAGTACTGTTGATATATGGGAATGACGTTCCTACATTTTCTAATCTCATTAAATTTTAAAGAAATGTCTACAATGCAGAACATAGGACAGGTGAAATTTACTTCATTATTTTTCTTTAAACCTACTTTATAACCCAGGTGGCAAGCCTGTTTTACTAATGAACTTAAAATTTCATTTGCAAATATAGTTGTTTCCTCTTTATTTTGTTTCTGTATTTTCCTTAACACAGAGACTCCTGTAAAAAGATGTATTTTTCCTTTGGAATATTGAGTGATAAAATAGTCATAGCTTTCCACTTGGAAACCAAGAAACTTCATTTTACTCTTGTTAGCCTCATTTAACAAGCACTTAAATTTTTACATAAACATTTTGTATTGCTATATTATCTAAATCAATGCTACCAGCAACTTACGTTTTAAATTAAGTACTGTGTTACTAAATGAGCAAATTCATATTTGCTAATGTAATCTATTTCCTCCCTGTCCCTTTTTCTACATGTTATTTTTAGGTTAATAATGCTACAGCACGTGTAATGACCAATAAGAAGATGGTCACACCATATGCAAATGGTAAGAAATTACAAATCATCTTCAGAGGATGTCACTTATACTCATATAAACATAGGGATTTTTCATAGACTTCATAGAATCTGTTTATTTAATTTACATGGAAGTGTTCTCTTTACCTATAAACTTTTTCTTTAGAATTTTAAGCCAATCTTTTTAGTTACTGAAGTGTTTTCTTCTTGGTAACTTCTACTTTCTACATGGCACAAGCATCCCATTCAAGGTTGCTTATTAAACCAAATTAGGAGTGGGGCTGTGGCTCAAAGTGTTAGAGCGCTAGCCTTGAGCACAAAAGCTCAGGGACAGTGCCCAGGCCCTGAGTTCAAGCCCCATGACAAAAAAAAAAAAAAATGTTTGGGGCTGGGAAGGTGGCTCAGTAGTAGAGTACTTGCCTTGTAAGCATGAGGCCCTGGGTTCGATTCCTCAGCACCACATAAGCAAAAAGAAAAAAGCCGGAAGTGGTGCTGTGGCTCAAGTGGTAGAACGCTAGCCTTGAGCTGAAGAGCTGAGGGACAGCACCCAAGCCCAGAGTTCAGGCCCCACAACTGGACCCAAAAAAAAAAAAATTAGGTGCCCTGGAGTACCTTCTTTTTCAGCTGGTGGAGCTCCTTTGTAACATGTTGCAATTGTTCCTAAAACCCCTGAAAGGCCACTAAGTCTGCTTTTGCTATTGATCCCTCCTCAAATGAGCACAAGTGGAAGACATTAGAAGGATCTCTCACTTTTCCTTAAGGCCTAAGAGTAACAGCTACAGGTAGTATATATACAGTGTTCCATTCTATGATTGTAAGTTATAGAGTAAGATGTATAAATGGTTTTCATTGAGAAGGGAAATTTCTAGGAATAATTTCCTCTAACATAAGTAGAATTACTGATCATCTGTCAAATGTAATTTGAATTTATGTTCTTCTCTAAATGAGATAGAAATGTAACTTTAACCTATATAGTACACAGTAGTTTTGCAAATTGGGGATGAAAAAAATTAGAAACCAAAGAAGCCAAGAGCTGAGATCTTCAGCCCACTGTCCCCTCCTTTACCTTCATCCTTCCATCCATCCATCCTCCCTTTGTTTTACTGGGAATTGAGCCTAGAGCCCCATGCATGCTAAGCAC